TAATTAATTAATCATCATTGTTAAAGGGGTGGAGTCTGGACACGCGCGGGGGATTCATAAATAAATATTAATTGCAGTAATTAAATAATAATAAAAATTGGGGGTTGGAAGGAGGGGTCGGGTTTTGGCACTGCCTGGGGATTAATAAAATAATAAAATTTTAAAATTTTAAAATTTTAAAATAATTGAAATATTAAAATAATAAAATAAAATAGTTTTTGAAGTAAAAATAATTAAATAATTAAATAATGAGACTAAAATAATAAAATAATTAAAATTAACGGGGAGAATCTTAAAAAGTTTTGGCAAGTAGGGGGGATTAATAATAATAATAATAATAATAATAATAATACAGCAATAAATAGCAATTAAAATTTTAAAAATTAATGAAAATAAAATAATAATAAAAACCAGGGAGAATTGTAAAAATTGGATGATTTTTGACACCCGCAGGAAGGTTTAATAAAATAATATTAATAATAATAATTATTATTATTATTATAAATATTTTAAAATTGTAAAACCAGAGGGAGAATTCCTCCCCAACCCCCAGAAAAAGGCCAAAAACCCCAAAAATCGAGATTTTTCTGTTGGAATATTTCAACAACGCCGAGTCCCCGCCCGGCGCCGATTTTTGGGCTGGAAAATCCCGATTTTTCCTTAAAACCCGCGCGGGAAAATCCGAATTTCTGGTAAAACCTGGGCGGGAAAATCCCGAGTTTTAGAAAATTCGAATTTTTGGTTCCAACCCGGGCTGAAAATCCCAAATTTTCGTTCCTACCCAGGCCGAAAACAGAAATTTTGCGTTACAACCCGTGTGGAAAATTCGAATTTTTCGAATTTCCGGCTCCAACCTCGCTGAAAATCGGAATTTTCCCTTTCAATCTGGGTAGAAAATCCCGAATTTCGGGCCAACCCCGGTCCCAACCAAGGCTGAAAATCGGAATTTTTGGTTCCAAACCGGCTGAAAATCGGAATTTTTGGTTCCAAACTGGTTGAAAATCGGAATTTTGGTTCCAACCCAGACTAAAACCGAGATTTCTGGTTCGGTTCGGGCTCGGGCTCGGGCTCGGGCTCGGGCTCGGGCTCGGGTTCGGGCTCGGTTCGGGTTCGGGTTCGGGTTCGGGTTCGGTTCGGGTTCGGTTCGGGTTCGGGTTCGGGTTCGGTTCGGGTTCGGGCCGGGGCTGGATTTGGGGTCGGGGTTGGATTTGGGGCCGGATTTGGGGCTGGGGTCCCAATCCCGTCACAGCCTCGTGATGCTCCGGGGCTCCGGTTCCAGCTCGGGTTGGATTTGGGGCCGGATTTGGGGTCCCATTCCCGATCTCATCACAGCCGGGTGATGCTCTGGGGTCGGGGCTGGATTTGGGGCTGGATTTGGGGTCGGGGCCGGATTTGGGGTACCAATCCCGATCCCATCACAGCCGGGTGATGCTCTGGGGCTCGGTCTCCATCTCGGGCTGCATTTGGGGCTGGATTTGGGGTCCCGATCCCGATCCCAATCCCATCACAGCCGGGTGATGCTCGGGGGTCGGGGCTGGATTAGGGGTTGGATTTGGGGTCCCGATCCCAATCCCATCACAGCCGGGTGATGCTCTGGGTCCGGATTTGGGGTCCCAGTCCCAATCCCATCACAGCCGGGTGATGCTCTGGGGTCGGGGCTGGATTTGGGGCTGGATTTGGGGCTGGATTTGGGGTCCCGATCCCGATCCCATCACAGCCGGGTGATGCTCTGGGGTCGGGGCTGGATTTGGGGTTGGATTTGGGGTCCCGGTCCCAATCCCATCACAGCCGGGTGATGCTCCGGGGCTCGCTGTCGATCTCGGGCTGCATTTGGGGCTGGATTTGGGGTCCCAGTCCCAATCCCATCACAGCCGGGTGATGCTCTGGGGTCGGGGCTGCATTTGGGGCTGGATTTGGGGTCCCGATCCCGATCCCATCACAGCCGGGTGATGCTCCGGGGCTCGGGCTCCATCTCGGGCTGCATTTGGGGCTGGGCGGGCTCGGCGGGCGCGGCGCCCCCGCGGGTTTTGGTGTTGGGTAATTTGTGATCCTTCTTCCACTTCATGCGGCGGTTCTGGAACCAGATCTTGATCTGGCGCTCGCTCAGGCTCAGCGCGTGCGCGATCTCGATCCTCCTGCGCCGGGTCAGGTACCGGTTGTAGTGAAATTCCTTCTCCAGCTCCAGCACCTGCTGCCGCGTGTACGCCGTGCGGGAGCGCTTGGGCTCCGCGCCGGGGAACGAGGGGTTAACTGCGGGGGGAAATATGGGGGGATATGGGGGAGTTATAGGGGAAATTATAGG